GCATATTATTTTATTCACAAAGTTTAACGGAGCATGAGTTACAAATCCATTATATTATGATTAATAATTAGAGGATCATAGGGGAGAGAGTGTCTTAATTTATGTAATTGATTGTCAGTCAATAGATTTGTCATTTTTTGTGAATTGTTTTTAAAAGCAGTTGCGAGATACGATATTAAGGCCAAGTTGGATAAGACTAAATAAGTGTACTTTTTGACTTTTTATGAAATATGGTTGGATTTGAGTTGGGTTTGAGTGATGTGTTAGAGAGTGATGTGACTGTGACTTAAAAGGATAGGTGACTTTTTGACTTTTTAGATTTCTTTTGAGGGATGCCAAGCTTTGACCTAATGTCAATAAAAAATACAAGTGAAATCCTTTTAATATCAATAATTTTAAGCAAAGAGAGTAGGATTTGATCTCAGAGATTGAAGAATGAGTTTATTTTTTTAAACTTAAATAGTATGTAAAAAAAGAAAAAAAAATAAGGAGGGATGCACCAATAAATCCCAAATTATAACTTATGCACTGTTAGTCTAAAAGTTTTCTATGACTGAAAGGTCCATTCAATGTTAGATGAACATCAGATACAATGTTAATACATCAGAGTCATGTTACAAACATGGATTTCAAAATCTATGTTCATCAAATTTCAATAATGTTTGAAAATATAGGTGAAAAAATCTATCGTTCAAATCAAAATTTTCATATAATTTTAAATTAATGAAATGAAAACAATCAGATATTTACATCATTCACATCATGTTGGAATTAAAAAGGGACTAAATGGAGCATAAGAATTTGTAGGACTAATGGTAACGTTTCAAAACTAGGACTATGGGTAATTTTCCAAAATAAATTGTTTCTTCTATATTTATCAATTTTAAATCCTCCTAATAATTTTAAAATTGATGTTTAGCCCACAGATTCATATTTACAAACTTGTTTTCTCCCGAACAAATAAACACGTCAGATATGTGGTAAGGTTGGGTGTTCAACATTTTTCTTAAAAAGAAGGATAAAGATAGTCTACAGACGACATGGGAATGAAATTTCATTGCATCTTCCTCGAACTGCCTATTATATAAAAGCTAAAGCGCTTCAGTTTTGCATTGTTGATTTGTGGAAATTGAGACCATTGAAAATCCAGTTGTTACACTCCTCCTCCGGTTAATGGCTCGCGCCGCTGAATCAGTAGTTGAAGCCTCCTGAATTGCGATGCTAGTCGCAGAGTTCTGGCTTGAAGCCGCTTTTGAAATCCGCCATCCGATCGAACAGACTCCTACAGCAATACTACTCTATAACATTCCACTTGGTGTGTCTGGAATGGTGTTCGTTTGCTTTATTCTTTGTTTGGCCATACATTTCTTCCAAGCAGCCCGAACCCAGGCGCGTGCTCGGCACGCTGGAGTAGTCTGTGGAGTTCGGCTTTTCTTTGTTGCCATACAGTCTTTTCCCGCTTCTGCCTGCAGGTCATTTCTGGTCGTATATGCTCTTTCATTATAGCAATTTTCGTCCTGCAATTGCTGAATCCTAGCAGACGATTGTCACTGTGAGTCAGGTTGCTTTTTATGAAAATTAAATAAGGGGCTTAGTAGTAACTTAAACTTGGCTATAAGATATGATTGGTAAAGTGGTTTTGTTATTGGAATTACCTTCCATCAATTGTTAGTATAGTTTCACTTTATCATATGCGCATTGATAGTGAAGGTGTAAGGGCTAGCATATGATTGAATTGCGCAGGAATCCATTTGGGAACCAAAATTTTCGGATTTGGAAATCTCAAATTCAATTGTTCAGCTTTTTCTTTTCCAACTCATGTATGATAATTTGTGAAACTAAGAGATTGCATGACTGTTACTAGAATGTGCATTATTTGATCCCAAAAATGTGTTATTAATGCAATTTATGATGGAAACATAGTGGAATATTTTCGTTCTTGTATGTATACGCCCCCAATTATTTACAATAATCCAATGCTTATAACAGAAATGTTAATGGAAATATTATGCCTTTCATTCATCAGAGTTTGCAGTTACAAAAGATAACTAAGGCAATATATATTGATAATGTACTCCGATTTTATAGCATGTAATCACAATTATGATAAACAAACAAAGCCCTACGGACTTATTTAAAAAACAACAAAAAGATCATAAGCATCTGTAATATAAAGCCTTAGGCTTAGACGAACATTAAATACAATAACACAAAAAGAGCCTCAAGCTCCAAGGTCCTCCCAAGCTTACCGTCTTTGGAGGAAGGCATGTCCTGCAGTACCGTAAAAATGGTTTTCCCAAAGTAGGGTGAGCTAAAGACCAGTAGAAACAATCTATACAGACCATATGAGAATAACAAGATATAAATATGACGGCACATATTCATTATCCAATGACAAAATCTTTATAAATTTTTTCCAAAGCATGTTATCCCAAACTCACTTCTCAATTCATTTCATTTTGGTTTATTAGATACATCCAACTTCATTCGCCCCATCAACAGAAGGTTACACCTCTCAAGTTTTCAACAGATGAAATCATTATACAAATACATTCACTTCTATTGCCATTTTAACAGAAATTTCGTCCACGGAAATAGGCCTCATGTATACAAATGGTTTTCGAGACTTTCCCCTGACCACATGCCAACTTAGTTCAATGGAGTCCATACCCTTTCCTTCCTCAAAACATGGAGTACATCCCATTTTTCCCCCCAAATATCATACATATGTATATCATTCATAATCATATAGATATAATGGTAAAGGGATTCAGTTTTTTAATTCCACCTATCCACATGGCATCGTTCAACAACAATCATGACTATCCTCACCGATAGCCAAAAGAATTATTCTAAACAAGACTTTCATCTTTAATAACGAATAAATCATCAAATTTCCATAGGTGAGAATTAAGCAAATCCCAACAACACCAATTCATGCATACATCCTCCCAATTCACATTTTTCATGTCAATTTCATTATTTATCAAATCATATATTCAGATTTTTAGGAAAAAGCTCCCTTTTCAAATATTAACCAAGGGCCAAAAATCAACTATTTTGACAGCAGATACCTCATACCATTATACACCTCAACATAGAACCCCTTTTTTTTCCGAAACTTTGACCCAAACCCTAGGTTTGTTCAAAACATTCCAAAGTCTCACATTTCATACAAAAACCTAATAACCAGGAATTAAAACCCATATTAAGGTGTAGAGAAGTCCTACCCTCAAGTTTGGAAGACCAGGAGCAAGCATGAAACTCAACGACGCGAAAACAAATTTCATCGGGTTTCAAAGGGAAACTCCAGATGCTCTACCTTTTTCCAAAGACACTAGGGGCGAAGAGATCAACGGATCAATGAGAAAAAGTAGAGAGAGAGAGAGAGAGTATTTTAGAGAGAGAATGTCTCACTTTAGGGTTTTTATAGAAAAGATCTGAAAAAGTGATGTAAAAAAGTCATTTTTCGCGATCTGATATACGCACAACGCCGCTCGACAGAAGAGTTGACGCTCGAGCGTTAGACCAAATAAAGTTGTTCGCTCGAGTGCAAGAAGAGGCCCGTTTTGAGCGCGAATACACGCCTCCAAACTTTTTGCAGACAACCAGCAAAACCGCTCGAGTGCAAAAGGGACGCTGAGCGCTCAACCACTCGAGCGTAGGAAACTGTCGCTCGAGAAGTAGAAAAACCCTTCATTATTTTTGTAAACCCTGCTCGAGTGGGTCCAAAATTCTGGGCACACCAGGTTTGAAAAACTAAGTAACCAACCTGTTCCAACACACTGCAACAGTCAATATACCAAATATTTTAAGGAGGAATAACGAGTAAAGACAATGAACAACACTCAGAAACCATAAGCCCGAGTCGAACACCACACAAGTTTGGTCAAAATTGGATCGTTATAGGTAGACTTATTAAATGAGGATGATGAGTTGGTGGTGTTGTGACCTAAAATCAAGTATATTGGTTCAAGTGAAGAGTGTTCCGACATATTGACATATTTTAATGTGATTCATATTAATTTACTTATTTTTAACTAAGCATATAATCATTGATTGAGCAGAATGGTGAAAACTTATTCCATGTACTCGACCACAATTGAATGGGATATAAGGTTTTTGCTTTGATTTGGTTTGGTTTATTGATGGGACATTTCATAAATGCATTCTATCATTAAAGAAAAAAAAAAAAAACCCAGAATAAAAGAGGAAAAATTCATGGAACAAGGGCACTGTTGCCACCACTTTTTCAATGATGTGAGATTGTTTATGAAGGTCAAGGCTCTTCTTCTTCCTTGTAATCTTTGGCTATATATTTGTATTTTACATGGAAACATGACAATGGAATCAACAATTTGTAAGTATTAACAAAAGTCCTCAAAAACAAATGAATTTCTGCTAAGACATCTTCTAGAATAAACAATCCACATTAAAACAATAGAACCTTAAATTTCTTATTAAAATATATTATGTAGTGAGGATGAATGGCATTAATGCACCTTTTGTTGTCATCTAAGGTTGGTAACAAACTATGTTGCTGCAGTTGGCACTATGTCTGCCATGTTGGTCACTTGTCTTTTTTTTCTTTTTTTATGTGGTACAAGCTTTATTTGTGCGCCAACATTTTAATGTTGCTCATGTTCAAACATGAAATGTTTGTTGAAAGTCTGTTGACAAATTGTTTGATGATGGATCCTTGGTAATTGTGTTTTATAGTGGTTTAACTTTTCACCGTCTAAAATGTCATGACTCTTAGAAAATTACAAGTCAATAAAATGCACTAGATTATCAATTTGTTTGCCGATTTCTTTTCCTTTCCTAGTGAGATTGCTTGTTTGATGGTTTTTCTTGACTGTTTATGGATTGACTCTGATTGTTTTCACATACAAATATATATATTGAATGGTGTAAATATTCTTATTTTTGAACTAAAATACTAGTTGTTGATTTCATCTAATATATTGGTAGTGAAATTGATTACATTTTGCTCTTTGAAGGGATTGGAAATAAGCAAAGAAGCATGGAATGGAATAACAGGTTACAACAATACATGAGCTGTTCTTGAACTTTATGTTCTCGGTTTTGTATTTGTATTATTCTTCTTGAAACTTGTATTCATAAGTTTTCATTGTTTACAACATCTATGCTTCAAATTTGCATAACAGTGCTTTTCGATTATATTGATTTACATTGTGTTAGTTGCATTTAGTATTCTTGTAGACTAGTCGAGCATTTCTTCATTGTGCAACATCATCTATTCTAACTGAATATAACAAATATGGATCCATCTCATAGTGTTTTTCATTTAAATAACACTGCATTTTTCATTTGTAACCAAGCTAATTGAATCTCAGTTTGCACGGCTGCAATGCTGATATTTGCCGTTAAGATATGCAAATTGTAAAAAATGAACTCTTTTTTTGAAGCATCCAGAGTAGTCCCTAACTGATATGCAATTCATAGGATTATGCATAGTGCTCAAAGGCTAACTAACAACATAACCTACATCTAGGCGAGTAATAGACGGAAATTAACTTACCAACCAGCTCGGATATTTCTCTGTCAATGAATCTTTAGTTTCATCCCCTAAAGTGCAATTTTGCTCGCGACATGGTATCAATAGTTTTATACCCACAGCACACTTTGTCCTTAAGAGTTAGGCAACTTTCTTAGTGAGATAAACACTCTGTTTGGGATGTTGCAACTTCCATACTCAAGAAGTACTTTAAGTTACGCAAGTCTTTTGTTTAAAACTCCTTAGTAGATTGCTTTCAACTTCTGCATTTCTTATAGATCAATCATGAACATACACAAGGAGTGCTGTAAAACCTTCTTTTCATTGAATGTTAGATAAATTGGGTATGGTCATCTTGACTCTGTTTGTAGCCACATCTAAGCATAGCCCAAGTAAACATCTCAAATCATGCTCTAGCAGACTTTGTGACTCATATAATGCCTTTTTGAGCTTGCACACTCCCATCAACTGAGAAATCCTCAAAGCCAGGTGGAACATCCGTGAAAAAAATTCCTCAAAGTCTTCATACAGTAAAGCATTCGTCATAACTAATTGTTAAAGAGGCTCAATATGTTAATTCTCTAGAATAGCCCACATGAACAGCTTTCGAAATGGCAATTAATGCTGTGAATTTCAGTTAATTTGAGGACTTAACTAACTTGCCATGAGACAATCACATGCTCATATCAGTGAGTTTTTTCAGGAGTATGTGATACGAGAGAAATTCTACCTTGCGGCAAACTTGCCTCCACATCGTCTGGTTTATTTATTATCTTCTCTGCAAAATGTGCTTTAAGCTGTATGAAACGTTCATGAGTACCATCATTGCTTCTAATCTGGATTTTTGCATGACATTGTAGATACATCTCTCGTTGATAACATCTAAAGTAACTTCAAAAGCCTGATAAGTGATGATCGCTTGGCTAGTTGGGATGATCTTCGGTGCTATTGCTGGAATAGGACAACCAACTTCAGTGGATAATTATACTTGATTGACTGGCATAAGCAAATAATATGAAGTACCAAGCTACTTAAAAGGTATTGATCATTCTCAGTGACTCCTATTAGTTCTTCTGTGACATTTTACACCCTTTAACACTTGCTCAATATAAATGACTTCACATTTCAATAAACCCACAGAATTTGACTTTCTCTGTAGAATACTTGCATGTTGGAGGCGGTGAAGCTGTAATATCTATTCAGACAGTTCTCGCATCCTAATCATCTCTAGCATGTGAGTGATTTTATCTGTACATTATCCACTTATTATATAAATGAATTCAAATTTCCAGTTGCAGGATGTTGATAAATGAAACACTGTCAATGGCAGATCTTTGAACTTATCAACAACAACAAAAATGGTAGATCCTTCAACTTATACTAATATGATGAACAAAATATTCCAGTTCAGATTCAGTTACTATATGCTGATATGCCAATAGCTAGGGACTTCAGTTTGCTTATTTAGAGGCTTATTACCATTGACTTTACTGCTTTGTGTGCTATTTAAATTATTGAAAAGCCTTGTTTTTAGTATAACTCTGTTGGGTTCTATGTCAGTTTCATTGCTGACATGAACAATTAAGATTATTGGACAATGTGTTACTCTCAACGTAGCTAGAGTTCTAACCAGCTGAAGCTAGCAGATGCTAATTTTTATTTCGAATCAGCTTGAGGATGGTCGGACTGTGGCAATGCATTTTTCTATTGGTTAAATGGTGGATCATCAATCTTACATGACAATAATATTCTCTGTTGTAGGCAATGTGATGTTAGTTGGCCTTTCTAACATAAATTCTTCAGCTAATTAAGGCGCATTGATGACTAAAGGAAATTGTTTGCTAGTGAAGATCCAGTCATCCTCTGATCAGCCACTGATATGTTGCTTGGGTATTTTTTATATTAACATCAACAGTTAGGAGTGAACAAGGATACATTTCATTTGTATGACAATTTGGCAATTTGAAATATACTCGTATAATCATATTACTGTGCAAGGGATGTTTATCTCTGACTTATGAATAGGAATTTTCTGGCCCACACAACTCTCTCAATTGATTTGTACCCAAAGTTGACATCCTCTTACTTTTGTTTCACATCGTCTTTCCTACAAACCTGCCCTGTTTGTCGTTATGAATTGCCAACAGATGATCCTGCTTATGAGCGGAGGAGGACCCAAAGAGCTGGTCATGTTGATTGAAGTATCCTAAGGTCAGATTTAATCTTGAAGTTTTTCTTGAGCATTAGGTTGTATCCACTGTAGATAATGATGTTGAATAGAGTCCATTTCTATCTTTGAGGATGATTATGTTCTTAATTATTTTGATTGTGATTTATTGAGATTATATATGAATGTTTTGTTGCTCGGTGGTGCTACATGCACCAATTAGTGTATTAACTAGTGTTGGTACTAGTAGTAATTGGTGCATATAGAATTATTCTTTGTCGCTAGGGTGTATATTGCAATTTTCCATATAATTCATTATTGAGTTATAGTAGGCAAAGTAAATGGTGCGATTGGCCAACTTAGAGAGAAACAGTTTATTGGCAAAGAGGAAGGGAAAGGATTTCTGATTTGGGTTTAACCCATTTAAACATGTATAGTTCATGGGTCAATCCATTTTATATGCCAAATAATCTTTATAGGGGAAAAAATAGGAAATATGGTTAGATGAATCAATAGTAACCGCAATATTGTGTTAAGTCAATTACAGTCTTCTAACGGTATGGGCTAAACTCAGAGAAAACTCAAGAGAGAACATGTAATATTTTCAACCTAATGTGCTAGCTGTACTTAGCTCAATAGCCAGGCGAGATCAGTGTAATTTACCCTATAAATTACTGTTAACTTCCACCCTTTAGTTCTTCTCATGTCCCAATCACTAACCAACATAAACAAAGAGTAATCACAATTTTTTGTCAAGTCATTAGCAGCCTTCTAACAGCATGGGATAAATTGTTATTTGAATGTAAAACTTGAGGAGGATGGTGTAATATTATTAATTAATGAGCAAGCTGTAATCAGCTCAATAGTTAATATTTACTTCCACCCTACAGTTCTTGGATGAAAGTCATTAGACTCTCATGTCTCAATCACTTAACCATACTATATGTCCTGTGCTGTATCTGAAGATCCCGTTTGTGTCACAACCCAATCCTTGTGATTTTATGCTGCGGTGACTTGAAATCATTACAGTTGTTTATACTTTGGTGTGTTTAAGCTGAGGATTGTTGGCTTTCTCTTTTGGTGGTTGGATTTCTCATAGCCCCTTCCCTTGCAACCTGGTTGCTGTCTTTTGAAATTGGTGCATTACAATCAATCTGTCCTCGAAGGATTTTCTTTATTGGAACTCCCCCCATTTTTCTCTGCTGCCTCTTTTTGTCTCTCGATTGTATTAGAATTTGTGCATTATGAAATTGATCTTTGTAGCCGAAAATCTTACCTCTACTATTTATTTAACTAAGGTCTTCTTAACTGTTCTTCCATTAGATTTCTTTGCCCATATATATATATATAATAAAAAAGAAAGAAGACCAAAATACAAAGATTAAAGGATGGAAATCGAATGGCTTTGACTATTATTTGCCTGAATCAAACATAACTAGTAAAACTATAAATTCTATTATTGTTACTATTTTTTAATGGATAAGTTGAGTTCTCTATTGAGTTACAGAGATTTGTTTATTTGTTGTTTTGATGCAATTAAAATTTTTTTTTTTTGGTTGGATAAATTGCACTGGTTTCCCCCATGGTTACTAATAATTGACAATTCGAGGACCTCCCCCAGCTTTCTAAAATGACAGTAGCCTTTTCGGTTAGACGATGTTAATGGATTTTAGTTATTTTATTTCTGCTTTACCCCTTCAGTTGAGTGGAGATCCATTGCAAAGGCGACTAAAAGCTCCAACAAAGCTCACCCTACTACCATGATCAACAACTCTACATAATGTAGACTTGTAAATATTAATTTCTCTTCCATTTTAAAATTATTGATATCTTGTATTTTTCTATTATCTTTGACTGAAATATATATATATATATATATATGAGATAATAATATATAAAACTATATATTTTGCTTATATCTCCTACATGTGTTTAGTATTTTGAAAATTGATATGTTGGTTTGTTTATTTTGTGTCGCTTGCCCCTGTCTCACAGCAGTGTATGTGAGAGATCGAGGAATTGATCAAAGAGAGAGGAGGGGAGATCAAAGAGGGGGTGTTAGTGGCCCTACTAGAAATATAACTTTTTGCGTCTATTTTTTTGCGACTGATTATTTAACCGTCGAAAAAAATCACTTTTTACACCAAAATCTAATTTTTCTTACTCCACACGCGTTATTTACCAAAATCTAATTTTACTTAAACTTCACACGCGTTATTTCCCAATGATGTCTCCATTTCGCGCTCTCTTCGGCTAAAGAAGAGACCTCAAATGGTATGTTTCTCTCTCTCTCTCTCAAAGTCTCACACACTCTCTCTCTCACTCGACTCTCTCTTTCTATTCTCCACTCACAATTTTATTGTTCATTTGAAAATTTCAATCAATTATTGATGAAGATTTGAAGATTTTGATCGATTGTTGATGAAGATTTGAAGATTTCGATCGATTCATAATCTGTAAGCCTAATTTCTAAGAATGAATCCAACTGTCTTTGTCTCCCCTCCGCTGTGCCTCTTTTCCGTCACGGATGCTTCTCTTTCTCGCTCTTGCCAGAGCCGACTATGGAGACCTCCAATTTTTCAATTCTAGGGCTTAATAGAGTATTTATTTTCAAATTCTTGAGATTTCTGGTGTGAAGCGGAGGTCTCGCAGCGCCTCCTCGAAGCTTCTCACTGTAACGATCTAAAATCTACGCTTGATTGCATCTCCGATCGGTTCGTCGATGTCAACTTCGTTGGCATTGTGTGCTTGAAGGTATGTCGCAATGAATTGGCCAATGAGGTTCGCGTTGAGTATGAAGAGTTCAAGACTGATGTCACGGTGTTTTTCCTTGCTATTCATGCTGGAACTATGACTTTCATCAGGAAACTACTAGTAATGTGATTTTGGTCTTTGATTTTGATTGTATCTGTTTGATCAACTACTTGTTTCTTGCTCTGTTCTATATCCCAAAAGTCATTTTTGATTTCATTCTGCTTATTTTGAAGTGTTTCATATGTTAAAAATGCTCTAGTGTTCGATGTGTTCGTTTACATGTTTGTTTATCTGCATTTTGTTGATCTTTACCTCTCTGTTCTTTGTTTCAATCTCTTCCTATTTTTTGTTTGAATCTCTCATTTTTTCTCACTCTCTCTGCTTTTGTTTGAAATTATTTATGAAAACAAATTGATGTGAATGCTTTTCTAATATGTACCTTCTTAGAAGAGAGAGAGTATGTCCGACGTGTGTTGGACACAAACACGTCACCTTCTTAGAAGTGTCAATGGTTTTCTAATATGTACCTTTGGAATGGGTGAATTATCCTATTTGACATTTACTGGTTGCTTTCTAGAGTCACATTTTTCCTTCTAATTGTGGTTTTGAAACTATCTCTAATGACATAAGGAGCCAAATGGTCAGTGCGATGGCCCCCACAAAAGAAGATCTCCATGACCCCCATTGATGTATTGACTATTGATATGTTTGAATTTTTTTGGAGAGTTGTGTCTAACAATGATATGAATGGTTCAGATCATTTTGGGGGTTGTAGGGGTTGTGTTTTGTTTTTCAAAAAGGCTAGATTTAGTTTTTTTTGAACGAATTTAGATTAATTTAGTTTTGATTATGATTTGTGATGGCAGTAGTAGAAACTTCTATTTAGTTTAGTTTTACAATTTTGATTTGAGTGTGCAGTTGTATTTTAAATTTTGAGTTTTCGAATCATAATTTAAAAAGAGAAAATTTATTTGGTTATGAGTTTTGAAAATAGTTTTGGCATGATTTGTAATTTTTTTTAATTGATTGATGTATAGAATGTGAGAGAATGTGAGAGAGGAGAGATAAGAGAGAAAAGGTGATTGATTGATTGATTGATTAATAATAACAATAATAAAATAAAATAAAAGAGAAGAGAGGACTTTTGAAAGTAATTTTGAGTTTTATTTTAAAAATATATTTAGTTAATATGTTTCATCCAAATCATTATTTAAAAATAGAGTAAAATTTTGAAAAATAAACCAAACGCTACCTTCACTAATAGAAATGGGACTTTTTGCGTCTATTTTTTTGCAACTGATTGTTTGCCTGTTGCAAAAAACAAAAAAAACAAAAAAAAATCACTTTTTACACCAAAATCTAATTTTTCTTACTCCACACGCGTTATTTACCAAAATCCAATTTTACTTAAACTTCACACGCGTTATTTCCCAATGATGTCTCCATTTCGCGCTCTCTTCGGCTGAAGAAGAGACCTCGAACGGTATGTTTCTCTCTCTCTCTCTCAAAGTCTCACACACTCTCTCTCTCACTCGACTCTCTCTTTCTATTCTCCACTCACAATTTTATTGTTCATTTGAAAATTTCGATCAATTGTTGATGAAGATTTGAAGATTTTTATCGATTGTTGATGAAGATTTGAAGATTTCGATCGATTCATAATCGGTAAGCCTAATTTCTAAGAATGAATCCAACTGTCTCTGTCTCCCCTCCGCTGCGCCTCTTCTCCGTCACGGATGCTTCTCTTTCTCGCTCTCGCCAGAGCCGACTATGGAGACCTCCAATTTTTCAATTCTAGGGTTTAATAGAGTATTTATTTTCAAATTCTTGAGATTTCTGGTGTGAAGCGGAGGTCTCGCAGCGCCTCCTTGAAGCTTCTCACTGTAACGATCTAAAATCTATGCTTGATTGCATCTCCGATCGGTTCGTCGATGTCAACTTCGTTGGCGTTGTGTGCTTGAAGGTATGTCGCAATGAATTGGCCAATGAGGTTTGCGTTGAGTATGAAGAGTTCAAGACTGATGTCACGGTGTTTTTCCTTGCTATTCATGCTGGAACTGTGACTTTCATCAGGAAACTACTAGTAATGTGATTTTGGTCTTTGATTTTGATTGTATCTGTTTGATCAACTACTTGTTTCTTGCTCTGTTCTATATCACAAAAGTCATTTTTGATTTCATTCTGCTTATTTTGAAGTGTTTCATATGTTAAAAATGCTCTAGTGTTCGATGTGTTCGTTTACATGTTTGTTTATCTGCATTTTGTTGATCTTTACCTCTCTGTTCTTTGTTTCAATCTCTTCCTATTTTTTGTTTGAATCTCTCATTTTTTCTCACTCTCTCTGCTTTTGTTTGAAATTATTTATGAAAACAAATTGATGTGAATGCTTTTCTAATATGTACCTTCTTAGAAGAGAGAGAGTATGTCCGACGTGTGTTGGACACAAACACGTCACCTTCTTAGAAGTGTCAATGTGTCAATGCTTTTCTAATATGTACCTTTGGAATGGGTGATTATCGTATTTAACATTTACTGGTTGCTTTCTAGAGTCACATTTTTCCTTCTAATTCTGGTTTTGAAACTATCTCTAATGACATAAGGAGCCAAATGGTCAGTGCGATGGCACATTTGTTTTGTAATGTAGTTTAATACATCTTTCTTTCCTGAACTACCGAGTCTTTGACAATGACAATTTTCTCCCTTTTATGGAACAGGTCAAATTTTTTGTCTCATTAGGAGGACCTCATGATGTAATCTCTTTGTTATTATTGCATCAAACTGAACAATATTTAAAATTCCTTTAGATGTGAAGTGCGGAGAGGGTATAGTGCAATGTAGGAAGGGAGTAATAAGTTGGAGATTTATCTGTAACTTGGTGGATTCTAGTACAAGTAGGGGATGGCATATTATGATTATCTCAATTTTGCTGAGAAAGAACAGGGTATAAAGAGGGTATGGCACCATTTGAAGTTTACTTATCTATATAAAAAGAAATAGTTCTAAGGGTGAGTGTCTTATTATTCTCTTTTAAATTTCAATTCAAACTTTTGGGGCAGACAACACATCTCATGGGAACTTTAAATCTCTTTGGCAGAGAGTGTAACTAAATCCTAGTGTTCTATAACTCAAAATCAAATACATAAGCCTGTTGTCGGTTTGGATTCAAATAAATGTATAACATTGTAATAATTTTTAATTTGAAACCTAATTTTTTGCTTTTGCAGTCTGGCAGAGGTCTACAGTGCCCATGTCCAAGTATACATCTCTCGAATTTGATTCAGTTATGCAACTTTACTAGTGTTGGAAAACTTTCTTACATGTGAACTTTTGAAGAGAAGATTGGTTGTATGCTTCTCTTCACTTCTTGTCAATTTTAAATCTTATTATGTTCTCTAATGAGACTTAGTGCACTGGATTTTAATTTGTGGGTTGCAGGCTCACTTGGCCCCTAGTGGTTACCTTAAACTACCAACTGTGAGTAATCTTTATTCTCTATCTACAGATGTTATGTGTATGTTTAGAGATGGTGGTTGGAAGGCCCACTAACTAAGTTGCATGGACACCTTAAAATAAATCAAATACTCTTATCGGACACCCGACATTTGGATAAGGGTGTAAGATATGTATAGGATACTTTTCATTGGACATTCATATATTTGTATTTAACACTATTATTATATGCATATATTGTTGTATAATTACTATAAAATGAATAAAATGTCTTTTTGACACTGTATGTTACATATAATATCATTTTATTTCACATAATAGAAAAATATAAAAATATGACTATTTTTTGCCAAGTACATGTATTCTTAAATATGAGGTTTGATGGGTTCCAACCTCTAGATACATACCCAAGTCCATGTAAGATAGTTTGGTAGGTTTGCTTTCAATAAAATATCTATGCATTTTCTAGATTCTCATTGCTTGATCTTTTATGTTTTTGAAATGGTCGTTTCCATCTTTTATAATCAATTTCTGTCTATAATATTATAATAACCCAACCATCTATTGTTCAATCCCATATGCTTGATATTCTATTATGATAATGACCCCACTTCACTCTTTGACTTCTGAAACTATAAATATTTTCGCAATCCTCCACCTGATCCTTTAGTTCATATAACAGTCGTTATTCCTTATTTTCATTTTGGACACATTCATAAAGTTATACATTATCAATCTAGACCATTCCGGACGGTACTTGTAGTTTGTTCATTGCAAGACTAAACATAAAAACCAAGTTTTTAACAAATTTTGTTATAGAACAAGATCACCTTCTAGATGGTTGTTTCATTTGCTAGAAGGTTCTCTATTAAATATAAATATTCGAGTTTTGAGCTTATTATGTAATTTTCGAATGACCACCTTTCAAATGCAACCAAGAAAAGGACTGATGACTTCTGGTGGGTTCTTATTGTTAACTTTGAATGCCCTGGTAACTTTTGTGCTTTACTGATTTTAAGATGATGCTTAATGTTTTGCAGGTACGTACATTATCTCTTGATGAAACCTGGCCTTAATGTTGAATCAAGTCTTTAAACTTGTTTAAATGGGTTAGGTGTTCAAGATTTTGGCCTTTTCCATATATTTTTTTAATCATAAAGAAAATAATTTGGAAGCATGAGATTTTATTTTTAGTTCCTTTATCTTTTTCCAATAACTGACGCTTTGAGCTCTAGTTTTGGTTCTTTCGCTCAAGGCATCTTTCTTCTTATTTGCCAAAATGTTGTGTGACTTTTTCCTACTTTGGAGCTTCATTTGTTCCATGTTTTATAGAAAGTCTTATTTTTCTCTTTACTATTGGATGGAGTGGGAATTTCTTGCCAAACAACTTGCAAGTTTAGGTGCTAAGCTTATCATTTCTGCTCGAAATAAAGCTGAATTAGAGAGAGTCAAGAAACAGCTTTCTGGTATGTCCTTCCACTATGAACTCTAATCCCTTTTGCTCTTATTTTTCTCTTTAACCCATTTTCTTGATATGTGGCTGGTATCTATGCACAAAATTCAAGTGGTATAATTATATCATCACAAATTTTATATAATGAGATGGCTACAATGACTCATTTTGGAATATAAGGTTCATGCATAACATGGGTTACTGCTAGTATATACATATTGATAAGTTTTAGTTTATGTTTCTAATGATTCCTTGCATTTCCATTGTTTTTTTCCACCATATCCCTTTTGTTTTCGAAATGCTTTTAAATTGGTTCAATTTTCGAATGATGAAAGCAAAAGTCTTGCCATCTAGATGAAGATGCATTTTTAGCTGATGATGAGCAGTGCTGCAGGGAAGACACCTGCACCAGGTCAGGCCGTATTCTCTGCTTCTAAATTTGCTCTAATTGGGCACTTTCACACTCTGCGTTCTGAGGTATGATTACAATTTCTGTCGTAATTACTGTGGTGCAAAATGCAAATTGCACATTGTACATTCTGCAAATTTTTACCTGACTGCTTGCATACACTATAATACTTCAAAAAAATTTAGAAGAAAGGGCAGCCAATGCTGTAAGTTCCCTAGACTGATGAGATCTGTTGTAGCCATGTACTTAATTTGATGCTTTTCATAGTCACTAAGTTATCATTCTTGAGAGTTTTGAACTGATTTAGAATTCAATGTGGTTGGTTTATTGGCCTAGTGTAAAGGTATCAGGTGGCATTTACTGATATTATTTGTCAGGAGAGCTCGAAAGCATGGACTAGAAGGTTTACTGAAAATTGTTCATTTGTGGCAGTTGGAACGTTTAAAAGTTTGATTAATGAATTGTTCTTCAGATTATTGATAGAATCTTACTTAAACAGGGCAGAAAAGATCAAATCTTTCTTGTTTGTCTTTCAGGATGGAGTACATTTGTTGTCTACTGTTTATCTGTCTTATACTTGGGGATAAAATATTAAATTAGGGAGGCTTCTCCTGCTGGATGACCAGGAAACAAAATGGACAATAATTTTCTATATGCACGCATCATAGATGTTTCTACATGGAACCACTCTTGTTCTGTTTTGTAAATGGCATCTTGGTTATTTTCTGGCTGTCTATTTTGATTTTCATAATTTCTTTACAATGGTTGCTCTGCTTAAGGTTTTATATCTAAAGAAAAATTTAGAAATTGGATACCATGTGTTCTGATCTATTCCCCTTCATAACGTGTATTGATCAGGTGCAAGCTTGGATTTAAGGAACATATATCTCCATGGCAACAAACTAGAACTCAACTGGTACCTTGTACAGTGGTGAACACCAACATTGTAGGTTTTGACTTTACTAGCATTCTATTTGGATTGTAATTTTTTCATAAAAGAACTTTTTCCAAGTTTTTAGTTGTAATAACGTTTACATATGGCTCCAATTTTGCGACTCAAATGGAATGCTTGATTATATTACAATGTTATACGATATGAATTCTTGTCATTGCTATTCCTAGAGTGCTTAATGTTACAAATTTTTTATTTATTTATTTATTTTATTTTTATTTTTATTTTTATTATTATTTTTTTTTTGTGACGGTAACAAGATGGTTGCCAAAAATCATGTTAGTGTTTTTCTTTGTTTTTTGCGACGGCAAAATAGCGGTTACTATAAGTAATTTAGGCGGTCGCGAATAATTTGCGACTGTTGCTTTGCTGTCGCAAAAAGTATTTGCCACCTCTATTTGCTGTCGCAAGGGCCATCACAAAAGGCCTTCTGCGACTGTTTTTTATTATTTGTAACGGTTTATAACGGTCGCAAAAAGTATTTTTTTTTAGTAGTGTGGTGTGTGAGGGACATTGATTGTGCGATGGCAGTGGCATGAGAGGGACAGTGGTTTTGTGATGGCAATGGTGAGTGAAGGACAATGGTGGTGGCCTGAGTCTGATGATTGCTTGGGATGGGCGTTTTTTTATGGTGGAAGTTTGGAAGATGAGATAGGTCGTCTCTTGTAATTTGTATAGAAGTTTGCTTTTTGATAATCTTCTGTATGTTGCACTTGAGTTAAATTATAACGACATTTGACAACAACTCTGTCCAGTGAGCTAGAATTCTTTCTCGTGTGTGTTAAGAACAAACAATTATTCCCATTCATAGACTTTCTTCCTTGAAAAAAATTCCTCAACCCTGAAATCACTAGATTCAGGACGTCTAGTTAGTATAAAGAAAGCATGGTATAGTCAAAATGCAAATCCCTTTTGCTCTTATTTTTCTCTTTAACCCATTTTCTTGATATGTGGCTGGTATCTATGCACAAAATTCAAGTGGTATAATTATATCATCACAAATTTTATATTATGAGATGGCTACAATGACTCATTTTGGAATATAAGGTTCATGCATAACATGGGTTACTGCTAGTATATACATATTGATAAGTTTTAGTTTATGTTTCTAATGATTCCTTGCATTTCCATTGTTTTTTTCCACCATATCCCTTTTGTTTTCGAAATGCTTTTAAATTGGTTCAATTTTCGAATGATGAAAGCAAAAGTCTTGCCATCTAGATGAAGATGCATTTTTAGCTGATGATGAGCAGTGCTGCAGGGAAGACACCTGCACCAGGTCAGGCCGTATTCTCTGCTTCTAAATTTGCTCTAATTGGGTACTTTCACACTCTGCGTTCTGAGGTATGATTACAATTTCTGTCGTAATTACTGTGGTGCAAAATGCAAATTGCACATTGTACATTCTGCAAATTTTTACCTGACTGCTTGCATACACTATAATACTTCAAAAAAATTTAGAAGAAAAGGCAGCCAATGCTGTGAGTTCCCTAGACTGATGAGATCTGTTGTAGCCATGTACTTAATTTGATGCATTTCATAGTCACTAAGTTATCATTCTTGAGAGTTTTGAACTGATTTAGAATTCAATGTGGTTGGTTTATTGGCCTAGTGTAAAGGTATCAGGTGGCATTTACTGATATTATTTGTCAGGAGAGCTCGAAAGCATGGACTAGAAGGTTTACTGAAAATTGTTCATTTCTGGTAGTTGGAACGTTTAAAAGTTTGATTAATGAATTGTTCTTCAGATTATTGATAGAATCTTACTTAAACAGGGCAGAAAAGATCAAATCTTTCTTGTTTGTCTTTCAGGATGGAGTACATTTGTTGTCTACTGTTTATCTGTCTTATACTTGGGGATAAAATATTAAATTAGGGAGGCTTCTCCTGCTGGATGACCAGGAAACAAAATGGACAATAATTTTCTATATGCACGCATCATAGATGTTTCTACATGGAACCACTCTTGTTCTGTTTTGTAAATGGCATCTTGGTTGTTTTCTGGCTGTCTATTTTGATTTTCATAATTTCTTTACAATGTTTGCTCTGCTTGAGGTTTTATATCTAAAGAAAAATTTAGAAATTGGATACTCTGTGTTCTGATCTATTCCCGTTCATAATATGTATTGATCAGGTGCAAGCTTGGATTTAAGGAACATATATCTCCATGGCAACAAACTAGAACTCAACTGGTACCTTGTACAGTGGTGAACACCAACATTGTAGGTTTTGACTTTACTAGCATTCTATTTGGATTGTAATTTTTTCATAAAAGAACTTTTTCCAAGTTTTTAGTTGTAATAACGTTTACATATGGCTCCAATTTTGCGACTCAAATGGAATGCTTGATTAAATTACAATGTTATACGATATGAATTCTTGTCATTGCTATTCCTAGAGTGCTTAATGTTACAAATTTTTTATTTACTTATTTTTTTTTTTTTTTTTTATTATTATTTTTTTTGTGACGGTAACAAGATGGTTGCCAAAAATCATGTTAGTGTTTTTCTTTGTTTTTTGCGACGGCAAAATAGCAGTTGCTATAAGTAATTTAGGCGGTCGCGAATAATTTGCGACTATTGCTTTGCTGTCGCAAAAAGTATTTGCCACCTCCATTTGCTGTCGCAAGGGCCATCACAAAAGGCCTTCTGCTACTGTTTTTTATTATTTGTGACGGTTTATAGCGGTCGCAAAAAGTATTTTTTTTTAGTAGTGTGGTGTGTGAGGGACATTGATTGTGTGATGGCAGTGGCATGAGAGGCACAGTGGTTTTGTGATGGCAATGGTGAGTGAAGGACAATGGTGGTGGCCTGAGTCTGATGATTGCTTGGGATGGGCGTTTTTTTATGGTGGAAGTTTGGAAGATGAGATAGGTTGTCTCTTGTAATTTGTATAGAAGTTTGGTTTTTGATAATCTTCTCTATGTTGCACTTAGTTAAATTATAACGACATTTGACAACAACTCTGTCCAGTGAGCTAGAATTCTTTCTCGTGTGAGTTAAGAACAAACAATTATTCCCATTCATAGACTTTCTTCCATGAAAAAAATTCCTCAACCCTGAAATCACTAGATTCAGGACGTCTAGTTGGTATAAAGAAAGCATGGTATAGTCAAAATGCATGATCGTTGGTTGGATTGGAAAGTATTCCAACCAATTCGGAAATTACTTCCACCACTACCCATAAAAGAAAAAATCCAAACTTTTGTTTTTTTTTTTTTTTTAAGTGACAACCACAATATTTTTTTTTTTTTTGGGGGTAAATTTCAAACGCACCCATGAGGTATGTTCCGGTAGTTTTAGAAATTGGAAAATGCATGAGACCCCCAGTGGGGGTGCTGGGGGTCCCTTCTGATTGGTCCAAAAAAATTGTTTTTTTTTTTTTCTTCTCATTGGTCCTTTTTTTTTTTTTTTTTTTTTCATCCATTGGCAGCCCCCCACGCGGAGGTGGGGGTGCTGGGGGTCCTCACTAGGACTCTTAGAAATTACATCCATGAGGTATGTTCTGGTGGTTTTAGAAATTACATACCAATCTCTTGAAGTTTTTAATTTCATAAGAGATGACTTTTTTTTATTAGTAAATCATTAAGTTAATGATTAGTTTTTAATGATGTGAGAAATTTATTTCAATTAATAATTCAAATAATTTTATTATGAGAATAGTTTGAATTTTTTTTAATTAATTTTGTTAAATAAAAAATTATAGTAAGGAGGTATTTGTAATTTCTCAAATTACAAGGAGTAATTTGTATTTTAAACAAATTTCAAAGAGTATTTTTAAGTTTCTTTTTCTTATTTAAAAAAAAAAAATTCCTGTTCAAGTTGGATAAGTTGTTGACTTGAACTTATAGATTTTATTCACCCAAAAAACTTATAGATTTTTGCATTAAAACTGTAATGACATTAAATCGGGGTGTTTGAGAATTGAATTTTTTACTTTTTTTTTTTGTAAAAAGACGTATAGATAGAGAAAATGATTTGATAATTTATAATGATTTTTTGTATTTTTAACTATTTAACTCCTCCTTTCCAAAAGGGCGCAAATCTTTTAATTTTTATTTATTTATTTAGGTTTTCCTTTGGAGAAATACTATGTACTTTAAATATTTTATCAAATCTCTCACATGAGTTGTGACTCATTCAAATTCACATATGTGTGAGTCTCACACCAATATAAAAAATTTAATAAAATATTTAGAATTCCTAACATAACTGTTTCCTTTGACCATTTCATTAAAAGCTTTATGGCTTGTAGTTAAGTGCAAGTGAACCAGTGACTTTCACATTGACTGGTTATTTGCTACTTTACTAATTAAGGGGTTGTTTTGGGTGTTTTACTGTATTTTTTGATTTTTTTGGTAAAAAAAATAGAGGAAAAAAGATGTATGTTTAGAATAATTTTTAAAATTTTTATGAAAAAAATGTGTATTAAAATATTATATAAAATAACAAAATTATCATATTACCCCTAAATATATAATTGTCTACCGACAGTGACGGTACTGTCATGCATACGGTTGGCAGCAAGATATATAGGACTAAATTGCCTACGGTGTTGTTCGGCCTGTGGAGGCCCATCGCGTGTCCCGTTTTGATAATCGAAACCGTCAATATGTAAAACTCGTCGAGTACTATATGCTTGTAAAAAAATCACGTCCATCAGATATCGATAGCTATCTGATCAGATTAGGTTTTTGTCAACCATTACTTTGTGTACCGTTTACTTTTTTTATACAAAACTAATTTAATCATATAGTTATCGATATCTGATCAACGTGATTTTTGATAAACATATAGTACTCGACAAGTTCTACACATTGAACGGTTCAGATTATCAAAATGGGACCCGTGATGGGCACCCACGGGTTGAATAGTGATAACTTTTTGACTTGTATTTTTTGGTACCAGCAACACATCCCATCTTTTTTACTTGTATTTTTTTTTTTTTGTAAATTTATTTTTTTATATATTTTTTTGGTAAATAGTGATAATTTTTTGACTTTTTAAGTATTTTTTTTTACTTTTTATCTCTTTTTTTTAAGAATGTCAAACCAGCCTTAGTCTTCATTTGCAATTAATTAAATATTATTATTATAGACTACATAGAAAGGCAAGCCATTTTATAAAGGGGTAATTTCATTTCAGTGGATTTGTAAGGAAATATTTTCAAATTAATGATAAAGTTCATATATATTAAAAAGTAAAAGCATAAAATTTTTCGTTACTTAGGCCTCGTTTGGGAACTCTCTATTTTAACCAAAAAGTCAAAAAATTACTAAATTAGTCAAAAAGCCAACAACCCATACTAAAAAGTCAAAGATTCTTTTTTCTCTCTACTTTTTTTTTGTAAAAAGCTAAAAAGTCATCCCAAATATACTAGTTTTTTTTAGCTCATATTTTAACCAAATAACTAAAAAGTTACTAAATTAACCTGTTCCCAAACGAGACCTTAGTAAATAGTTTTTTAAAAATCTTTGACATGTAATTTCCTCTTTTATAAATGACGTGCACGGCACGGGTCTTTTTTAGAAATTATTTTTTAAATATTTTTTATAAAAAAATATAAATTAATTTGACTAAAAGAAATATTAAAAAGATTTTTTAAACGATAAAACTATATGAAAATGATGATCTTTTTTCACCAAATTAAATCTTATGTTTACAAAAAATAAAAAAATAAAAAATTCTAAAGACAAACTTTAAAAATCAAACCAAACAAAGACTTTCACTCTAGCCCTTTTGTTCCTTACTATTACAAAAATTATGAAAAATTATGTGGGGGTCTTGGGGACAAGTTTAGATGGTATTTTTACTTGATATTATTGAATTTTTTTTTTAAAAGAGACTTGATATTATTGGTTGAAATTGTGAGATCGATTTGTTAAGATATTAGGAAACAATTTGACAAGTATCAAGTAATAAGTAGTGTGGAGCATTGTTCTAAAATCTAATCAAGACGACAAAAGAATTTCAAAAACAATTATATATAAATCACAAAATTTGATATTCATAGAATAGGACACTCAATCCATAAATTTAATTTTGAATTTTTTTTTCTCCAAAAGTTTACATTCTAAAATACTTTTGTTCACAAAGACATGATGGTACAAAATATCCAAACTACCCTCTTAAACTCTTACTCGTTCAAACCCATATCTCTTCAAAATCTCTCACCCGCCCTCTCTCTCTCTCTCTCTGTCACGACCCAAACCCGGCCCTATGGGTTTAGCACCGTAACCGGCCAGTAATTCGAGATTACCGAAGGCCTGCCTAACAGTAATCCAGTAAAACAGAGTACAGAGCCTGGCGGAAGCCAATACAGTAAATAAACAATGTCCAATGAGCTGTGACAGTCTACACATACAAGTACAATCATTCAGAACAGGGATCTAATCCCTAATAAACGGTACAGTAATAGTCTATACAGTCTATACAGTAAACAAAACAGTTACAGGGACAGACGGGGAATATTAAAACACCCCAAAGCCGAAGCTTGAACGGCTTAGAACCTCACAGTGAGGCACAGTGGTTGGCTGACAAAACAAAAGCTTGCCTGACGCTCCTAGCAGCGGTCCAGTGCCTGAACACCTACATATATATATGAGCAGTGAGCTAAAGCCCAGTGAATAACATAATGCGTAAAGAGGTTTAGGATGAATGTCTTTTCAAAATTTAAACAGTTCATTGATTCAGTATATCGGTCAGTCAGTTTGTGGCTCATATTGATGCCGTAACAGTCATTTAGAAATCATAGTAATCGTACGTGGCACATCCGTTAGCAGTAATAGTAGCAGTGTCAGTACAGTAGCAGTAACGGTAACAATAAAGTAGCAGTAACAGTAACAGTAACAGTACAGTAGCAGTAACAGTAACAGTACAGTAGCAGTAACAGTAACAGTACAGTAGCAGTAACAGTAACAGTACAGTAGCAGTAACAGTAACAGTACAGTAGCAGTAACAGTAACAGTACAGTAGCAGTAACAGTAACAGTACAGTAGCAGTAACAGTAACAGTACAGTAGCAGTAACAGTAACAGTACAGTAGCAGTAACAGTAACAGTACAGTAGCAGTAACAGTAACAGTACAGTAGCAGTAACAGTAACAGTACAGTAGCAGTAACAGTAACAGTACAGTAGCAGTAACAGTAACAGTACAGTAGCAGTAACAGTAACAGTACAGTAGCAGTAACAGTAACAGTACAGTAGCAGTAACAGTAACAGTACAGTAGCAGTAACAGTAACAGTACAGTAGCAGTAACAGTAACAGTACAGTAGCAGTAACAGTAACAGTACAGTAGCAGTAACAGTAACAGTACAGTAGCAGTAACAGTAACAGTACAGTAGCAGTAACAGTAACAGTACAGTAGCAGTAACAGTAACAGTACAGTAGCAGT